ATACAGCCATCAAAGTGCATAGGCACTGGTTGTTAAAACTGGACTGAACTCAAATTCAGACTCCGTAAGCAAGAAACGGCTGGTGTCGCATCTATCCCTAAGAGAACTTGTAGTATGCGCGTGGAGATTCATGCACTGAAGAATGGAAGGGCGGTTTGACCCTTTCATTCTCTTACAAGATTGAAAGTGAGCGCTATTGCTTTTTGAGTATACCACATCTGGAAGGCATCCCATCATCCCGGATGAATAATTGATTTATCGGATCACAGATCATTTACGAAAACTACCGCCGGATAATTTCAGTCCCTNAAGGAGATGAACTTGCAGACTCTATCATAAACAAACGTCTACAGGCATGTGAAAATTTTATTGCCAAAATACTCTCAGACACCCATCATCCATTACAGGAATTTTCTAAAACGGTATCTACATCATCCACACGCTCAAGGTTCAGACTTTGTTTACACGTACCTCTTCATATCGTACTTCTGTTTTGCGATATCTAGCATGTCTACTTGTTGACAAAGAGAAAGTTTCCACAGATTTACGCAATTGCTTGCTTCATTGAAGAGACAATACCTACTGCTTTCAGGTTCATTTTGTGAGATTTCGTAAATTTGTACCTACAAATATGGTGTAAAATGCTGAAAATCCACCCATCCGGGTGCCTAAAACTACTATGGACTTGAAGTGTTATCTTCCGTGATCCTTTGCCGCCTAAAGCCTTTGAGAGAAACGAACACCCGTGGACAGTAGACCGGAAGCCGATCCTATCACATAGCATGGAGTGCTGGAGTTCCGCCACCCGAGATGCACGTTACTGTATTGAGGTCACCTTTCTTCCATACTTTATTGTCGGGTAACCGTCTGTGGCTAGTTTATAAATGTACTCGAAAAGCTGTGTGACCTCGAGTACGCTGACATCGTTTTCTTTTTGAATTCATGGAGGATGTGCTAAGTGCACTTAACAGACTAACAACTTCTGTTACTCTCACTAGTGAAAATTGGTACTGTAAAACTGGGAGTCGACTATCCGTGCCTTTAAATTAGATGTGTATGAAGTGGCTAAAATTGATTGTTTCTCCTACCAAGGTAGTAGAATAGAGAATGACGATATCACAATAAAGGAGGTAAGTGTATCTTTTTACAAGGCTCCAATCGCGTACACAGGGATGAAACGCCTTTGTAGTTAACGTGCCGTTTTGTTGAAGTTAAATACTTGCATGTATCGTGTAGAAGATATCCGTCGGCATTTACGAATTTTGGCACTTGCAGAATGATGGAGCGTGTTGGCAACTCCGAGGTAACCCGTCGTGATTTGTGTATGCTTCGATGGAAAGTTAGTTCAGATGAGTAGACCGCCTTGGTCCGGGAAGTTGTTAGGCATACCTAGCTTTGGTTTGCTGTGCGAGATTGGTCCTATAGTTTCCGCTGTGGGATTGAAAATATTATGTGGAGGTCAAAAGATGACGTGCAGATGAGGCATGAAGCGATGCGTAGAGATGTAACATAGAGTAAGTTTCGCTCTTCCTACAGACTAATTACTAATCGGTTGTTATATATATATATATACATATATATATGTATATGTATATGTATAATGTCACACTCCTCTGACTCCAGACTGTGTGCCAAACAAATCATGGTACAATAATCTTTATGAAAAAGAAAAACTTTCCATTCGTATGGATCATGGCGGCGAACCGACAGCAGTGTCTTCCGTAACTTTTCTCTGTCAATGTTCTCCTCGGCCTGTTTCCTCTTTTTAAATTGGGTTTCAAAATCACCTGAATAAAAGGTAGTGGAAATGTATCCAAAAGTCTGCATCCATTTTTAATTATGTTCAGTTTGTACTTGCCATTAATATGTGCAGTGCGGTGCACCGCATGTCAACGCGTGGTGATTGATAACCAGAAAAAATAACCGCTTTTTTCGGTTTCACATACAGTCATTCTTCTCCCGTGCGGATGAACGTATTCAAGAGGAGCAACAGCAGGAAGCACGGGAACGTGCCGAACACGGGACAGCATCCAATCCGCCCCAGGCCGATGATTATTTTCACGGTCTGGGAATCACGGTCCGTTACAATCGAGCTCGATTACACGAGGCTCAAGGTAGACCGGATGTGGCCGAAGAAATCTATAAAAGTATTCTGTTGAAACACCCGAGTTATATTGACTGTGAGTCTACTGTGAATTGGTGTTTTCGGTCGCTTCATCTCCGATTATTCCACAAGATGTTTTGGGATTGACAAAAGATAGTATTGAAGCTAACTTCACGGCGTTCTTTAGTGATCCATGTTTGTTGCTCTTGTCGTGTAGCTACAAAGATATTTGGTCTTGTTCAGTACTTTGCAATAAATGCACGTTGGGTGTTTGCCAGATAACGAAAAGCCACAAATGTTTTGAAAAAACCCTCGTCGCATGTGCATCTCCTGTCCACCAGCAAATAGGGCCATCACCATCACTCGGCTTTTTTTACATGTAGTTCCGCTGCCCAACTAATCAAAGAGCTTCCATCAAGAAAAAGACCAAGTGGCACTTGGGATACCAGTCAGTACCTTATTCGCAAAATTCTTCAGAAGTCCCCTCCACAAAGCAAACTTGTCTGCACATAGGAGAAATTCACCTAAAGGTAAATATAGTACTGACGTGATATACGTTCGTTTGATGAATGACTTTGTCAATCGCAGCTGTCTCTGACCGTAATTGTTGCCAAAGCATGAGGAATTTCTTGGATTCCAGTCATGTAATAACTTGTAGTGTCGGTGATCCAGTCGAATACGATTTTTGTCGTTTGCGTGTAACTCTGTTGTTATTAGTCAAGTTGCACAGCTTTTGTTGTTTGTGACACTTAATCATCTTTGGTTCGGGTTGTTCACCGTGATTACGTCTCCTATTTCTTCTTTCTCTTGTTGTGAGTTAGGGTTAAAATCCCTCTCTCTGTCGGGATTTGAACAGTTTCAGTTTAAACAACCATTAAACATGCGTTTCCGTGCGACGCTTTTGGTTACTGTCTTTCGGCTGCCCATTTGGGTGAAGAATAGGAGGAAAACAGGGAGGTTGAAATTAGAATGGAAGAAAAAATTGAGAAGTTCAGTAGACTAATATTACGAAGAAATTGAGAAGATGAATGAATGTCACTGTTTATGGCACCCAGCCATATCACTCACACACAAATATAGAACTGAGCAGTGTGATTGGTACTAAGAAATCACAACCGGGTGCTGACACGGATACTTTCCTGGGGTTATACGTTTCTCATTTTTTTGATGAACTGTCTCGGCGGACAGTTTTCTTGAAACTGGAATTTGATTAGTGGGAAAGCACGAATGAAAACCAAACCGGCAGACTGAGCCGACGAGGTTGCACACCTCTCCGTCGGGACTTGTTGAATGCATGTAATCAGTGCCTGGAGAAAGTAGACTGAAGGGCAATATCACAGGTAGTAGCTTCTGCACATTCTTTACGTCGTTCATCACTTATTCAATTTTACACATAGGTTTTATCGTAAGAGATTCTTCTCTTTGCTCAGTTTTGTTTCACAACAAAAATCAAAATTAATATGCTTGAAAAACGGGTGCCTCATCATTTGTGCACAAGAAAGAGATGAAGATTGTCCATGGAAACGGAGCTTCTTGGACTGATACTCATGTATTTTTGCTCACTTTTAGTTTTGTAAGCTGAGTACCGTTGGTCTACAAACAGTTTACTTAGGAAACGGAGACAATTATTCATCAAAAAATCACCCGTTCGTTCTACTGTTGAGTCTTGATTGTGTAGCTCTTGATGGAACGGTTTTTTCCGACGACGTGAAATTTGATGTATTTCTTATATTCGCACACTGTTGATTGTTAGACATAGTTGAATGCATCGCCTGCTCCAATTCAGGTTATCTACGTCTTGGCTGTATAGCCCGTGATCGTGGTCAGATCTGGGATGCATCGATTTGGTTCAAAGATGCTTTGGACGTAGATCCGGTAGGTCATTTTAACCGTATCTCCCACAGTTCTCCAAAACTCTCTACCGCCGTTGTAATCACGTTTTAACTGTTGACGATTGTACGAGAGATTAAGTTTGCTGGTTTTTGTCAGTTTGAGTTCTGTTTGCACAGATGTCAATCAGGTATCTTTTCGGTTCACTAATAAAAAGCGAATTAAAAACGCTATCAGCACCGCAGTTATCGCTCGTTAGCCATTTCGCATGGCGTTTCAGTCACAAGTGAGAAAAATCTCGTAAATTGTGCCCGTGAATTCCGGTTTGATCCACGCTTTTCTCCGCTCGATATTTTCTAGATCTGTTTGCCTTTGTAAAATTTCTAAACACTGATTTTATCGGGAATTTATTGTACGCTCAGCCCTATTGGAAATGTGTGTAGTATGTAGTGATTGAGCACCTGATTGATTGTCTAACTCAGACCATCCATATCAGACAACACAGGAAGGTTAACAGATGCTGTTTTGGTCACATTCCTGATAAGTGTAAATGCGGAAACCGGTGAAGTTAGTCCCTTTGGTATTGTTGTTGGGTTCTATTCTTTAATCTCATCTTAAGTCGCCTCGTTTGTTTCAAATCGCGCAATTTTGACCTAATACCACCACGAGGAAGAGAATTTCAGTCAGTACATATTTATCAAAATTACAGCCACCATCGAAGAATTCTGAAAGTTAGACCACTTTCGCCTATCATGAGTTTCGTCGTTCCTACTACCCTCCCTTATCCTCAGGTCTGGTGTTCGAATCCATCTAAAGCCAATAAACAGCTGTATCCATCCCATTGGGGTCTTGTCTGTTTTTCTATCCTCCAAGGCCTAGGACTACAATTTTCAGTTATCATGTTCCAGCTGTAAGCCCTTCTTATGGAATTCACTTCCTGAGCGGTTCCTCACATTAGGAATGAAGCAAGAGAAACATATTCTGATAACTATTGACTAAGTCGCAATTGTAAAGGAAGAGAAGTTACCTCACTCAACCAGCGTTACTTACGAATTGTATGCTTACATAGGATTACATGCTACCTGGCACATCTTGGCTCACTGGATAAGCGACCGCGGACGAGCATCAATGAGGCATGACAATAGCGTGTTTTCGCCTGATAACTATCTTCTTTATGACGAACGTACTGTGACATGGTGGCTGTTACCCACTATCAATGGGGCCAGCGGTCCTTGTACCGTTCCGTTTGCTTGACAAAGCTTTCCAGCGGAGGCGAATGAAAGAAAACTGCTACCTGCTGCCTTTTCTGTAACAATCGTGCTGCACTTTAGATGACACTCGGACGTGCAAAGGTTTGAGGTGCAATCTCTGATAGAATGATCGAGCGGTGTTCGGAAACCGCCCGTAATCCCATTCTTGATAACCCTCTTGGATCACGATGGTTCACAGAGCCGGTTTATTTTCTGGCAAGCGATAGTCTTGTAGAAGTAAATGTGTATTTGCCTGGAGATTTAAAATTTTCACGGGTAAAAAAGATTGATTACCGCTCACATTCCCTTCAGTTATTACCGTTTTTCACCAAATCTTGTTATTCATCGTTCCGAAGCCCAATTTGCATCATCTCTAACTAATCTTGTAAGCATTTTCATGCCTATAACAGGTCTTTAAAACAAATAGTGTGTCATAGGAACCATCATTTGGGTGACAAAAACTGTCAAAATGTTGTTCGTGCTCCAAATTGAAATCACTACCTGCTCATACCGCAACTACCTATAGGAACACCATAGTCCCTCATCTCACTTGCGTTTTTGTCAGCTGCGCCAGATTGCTTCCATTATAAAAAGTAAAATTTTGAGTGACATTACTTTTTTTTCTTATTTTTCTTTTTCTTCTGTCTGTCTGAAAATCTTTTGAAAGTGCATTGCAATAGGAATTTCATGAACTATTTAAAATGCATCCTTTCGGTAAACAAAGCTTATCTTGGCTAGATTTGAACGCAACGTGAATTACGTAGTAAGGAATCGCGACGTTACAAAATAGGATCAAAGTCGCGTTTTCATGCCTCCCAATTGTGTCAGCTAGCTTACACNAGCTTACACACCAATTGACGTATCCACAGAGACGTCTGGGAACCGGATGGGTAGCCGAATGTAAGAAAGCTGGGGTAATCGGTGAGGCTTCAGCTCAGTCGATGAACTACATGCTGTATCGATGGTTGCTTAGCGTTCTTGTGTGAATTGGAATTAAAGCCACAAATCTTTCCATTGCCGGTAGATATGAAGATATCTACCAAATCCTATGATCAGTGATCAAACTGTGTCGTTTGGTCGAAGTACGTAATGGAAAACATGTTCGGCTATAAACCACTGATTCATAAATTTTGAATTAGAGTACAGTTGCGAATATTCTTGTGATGGGTATATATTCCTGTGCATTTGATCATATTTGGTCTGTAGCTGATCCTTTTCAGCAGGTAGATCATATTTTTAGAAAATGAACCCATGCAACTGCATCTCTCTCGTGTTTCCGCGACAGGACAGTCCGGATGCGTGGTCTCTCATTGGGCTGTGGCATCTCAGTAAGAACGAAGCTGAACAAGCACAGAAGAAGTTCGATCGTATCATTCGCCAACCCGCCTACTGGGCGGATGCATTCGCACGCATCTCATTGGGAAATATATGGCTTACTACACTTCATCATCCGATCCGCGACAAGGATAAACGAAAGCGTCATCAGGTATACTTCGCTTTCTGATGTTATTCACTTGTTTATGTCAGTGATGCTTTTATTTGGTTGTTGGAATAGACCGATTGGCACTTGCTTACTATGGTTTCAAATGGGTGCTCTCTTTTACTCCTTATTTATTATTATTTTCATTCAATCCCCTTTTGGTACCTGAAAGTCCGCTACTGCAGGTTTTGTGTAAATTCTAGCATTTGGAAATTTCATTTGGTACCTGGACCAAAGTTATTGAGTGATGAGTGAGGATGAGTGATATATATATATATATATATATATATATATATATATATATATAATTCTGCCGTTTACACACACACAAGTCATATCTATGCGTCATTATTCTATTTTCATTTGGTGTTCATTTTCTTTTTGTTGGCTTTTGCGATCAGTGTAAAGCCCACCTTGTTTTTTCCTTGTTAGGTCCCCATATCTTCTGGGTTAATCTGTAAAATAGGACAACAGTGTATGTCTGAGTGTTCGATTGATCCCTTTGCAGGTTCTTCTCGTCCATGAAGAAAACTGCATTTGTTCTCCAAATTTCGACTAGCAGAGTTTTAGCAATTATCTGACCGTCGAATTTCATCCTCTCGGATTAAGGCTGAGGAAGACCGTCTTACACTTTGGGGCTTCGCAACTATCGGATCTTCTCTGCCGATAGTGTTTCTATGTGTACAAACCTCGTGGCACGTACATTCAGACTGTACAACTTCGCGCGGAAGGTGATTGGTGTTGTCCTAGGTTATGCAAGCTAAACCAAATACAGTTATGCAACTGAGTTTTGATTTTTTGATCCATTCCCTTTCTGGTAGCATAGCCCGTAAAGCCGATATTTTTAAACCGCGCTCATGACTGGTTCCATATCATAATGAAATAATCTCGTCCGCACGTAATCTCATCCCTTTTCTCCGTAGGATCGTGCACTCTCGTTCTACAAAGCTGTACTGTGTGCTGATCCCCGAAATATTTGGGCCGCACACGGTATCGGTTGTGTGCTAGCTCATAAAGGTTTCGTCAACGAGGCTCGTGACGTGTTTGCCCAAGTGCGTGAGGCCACCGCAGAATTTGCCGATGTATGGATCAATATTGCACATATCTACGTGGAGCAGAAACAGTATACTGCAGCAATTCAAATGGTAAGTCGCTGGTGGTATTGTTTTTTTTATATTCGTGCTGATGAATAGCTGCTCCGTTCGCAACCCGATCGAGTTATACAAATAACGACGCTTGCAATGCTTTGTTGAATGACAAATAATTTATCGGTACGTTGCCAAATGTGCTGACACATCATTCTTTGAGTAATTCGTTTCAGATAGTCAGGAATTACAATGTATCTGATAGTAGATTGGTTCACCATTAGATTCGAGCTCTGAAACTTAACGTTCTTCCTTAAAAGCTACTCTCGTTGTTTGTTCCGTTCTACTAATGGGGTAATGCTCCCGTGACAGCAATGGCGAAAATCCGAAGATATCACAATGTCAATCTCTAATCGGTTTCTGATATTGCTCGTTGATCTCTATCTTCTCTGGACGTCCGTTGTCGAAACGTTTCACTGCTGTCGTCCTTATTAGTGCTGCCCGTTTTGGTGTGTGTACTTTTCTAATGTGTACTAATAGCATGGCTTCTGGATTGTCATCGCAGATCTCTATTCTTGTTCGGAATTCTTTCAGTATGAGAATTGCATCCGAAAATTCGGAAAACAGAACAATACTGAACTGTTGCAGTATTTGGCGCGCGCACATTTCAAAGCCGGTCAATTGAAGGAATGTAAAACCATTCTATTGAAAGTGAGTGAAATCAGCTTGTTCACAACAACTGTTCAAAAAGTACGTTTGATTTTTATGTTCGTTTCAACGGAACACTTCGTCGGGAGTGAGAGCAACCCATGGCAGCTGTAGAGTGTTGTGAATTGCTGCTCATTCGATACATTCAGTTTGTTTGGTTGCGCTCCGTTATTTTTCTCACTTCATATTTTTTTAATTTGGTGCGCATTGGTAATGTTCTTCCATATTCATAGCTTAGGCAAAAATGCATTGCCCCTGATCATTTTCGATTGTATTCTACACTTCCGAGAGAATCTCCCTTTGAGATATTATCAGTTGTTTTGCATGGTCACATTTCTTGCATTGGCTTCCCATTCTTTGAATCCAGGCCATACATGTCAAACCATGGGATCCGTTGCTCACATTCAATTTGGCTCTGGTTCACAAACGTCTTGCAGTAACCGTACTTCAGGATGAAACTAGCAGTTTCTCTTTGGTGTGTGAAGTGATAGCCGATCTGAATATGGCCCGATGGTAAGCACGAGACTCGCGTCCCGGAGTTACCACTTAGTCCATCAACTGTATGTTTTAAAGCTTTTCTATTCTTCATTCTAAGCACTCGCATTCTCACCATGTTTTTTTCGAGTTTACGTTGTCCATATCTCTGAAAGCACTGATTCGCGCACCTAAACTTTAGTCGGCTTCTTTTCTGGAAATTGTTCGGCATGATCACTTCACAGATTGACCGGGTATGACCAGATGACCGATTCCGTTCATCCCTATTTTGCCACGATTCTCAAAATTTGACCCGCTTTGTTGTTTACTCTACTCATCTATTTGGATGATTGGGTCACAGCGTGCGGATGCCAGCCATTGTTCATAGCCATACTAAGGCTACCTTTCCAAATCTTCGTCATAGTTGTACAATGGTGAATCGCTTATTGTTGTTGCTTATTGTACCTGTGGCCTCCTGCAATGAATCAAGTCCTTGTTAAGGTATGAAAAACTAGTGAGATGACGGTCGAATAATAATTTTTTACGTCTTTATATTTATTGCGAAACAATTCATAAGTATATCGGCTATTCCTGCTTTGACATTGAGTGTTGAGCCGTCTTTTTCATTACACTATTGTGCGATGAAAAATAATAATATTTTAATTCTTTGTTCCCGAGGAACTGCTGTTTACTTCTAAGACAACCCCAACTCTGGAACTTTGAACGCAGAATCGTATGAACCCCAATTGGATAGACCAGTATCCAGCCGCACGACCGCCAAAGTTTAGTGCCGGTGGCAAGATTCGAAACTGGGACCCCACTGTAAAAGTGCACCAGTGACAGACTTTATTCGCTTAACCACCATATGGCACGGAGAGCTGTGGTAGAAATGTATTCTTCTTAAACTCTGCTATTCATGATTTTATTTTATCTTTTTTAGTACACGGAGAATGTTCACTCTCTTGGTTTGAAATCTGACACATGAACGTATTGCTTTAGCATGAATGCCACAAGAAAAATGGGCCAGGTTACTGTTCTTTT